CTACGGCGACCTACTTACCACTGGCTATCGTGCAGGTCACGGGTTCAACTCCAGGCAAATGTGCAGATACTGTACACAGGTAAGCTGAGGTCAAAGGATCGACCCCTGGGATCTGCATCGGCTACTGCCAAAGGTGAAAACTGTTTCAATGTTGATTAATATTTTATTATTTACATAATTTTCCCAGTGTTTTTTTTTTTTCTCTTTTTTATTTTGTTTAATAAACTTTCTTGCTTTATCTGTGTCATCCTTGTGCAGGGGTAATGCTAATCTTCTCTCTCTCTGTATCGTTCCATTTTAATGGATGTTCCAAAGGACTTATCGAGTTAATCTACAAGCCCAGCAACTGGAAAAAAAAAAAAAAAAAAAAAAAAAAACTCCCAGCTGTCCGATTCCCTTTTACTAGGCTTTTAGAGCTTACCAGAAAGATGGCATGTGATGAAGAGCATCCTTGCACCCTGCAACATTATCTGAATGCCCACACCACCCTTATTTCCAAGAATGAAGCCGTATCCAGTCGGGACACCATCGATCTCAACATCTGCACAATAACATAGATTATAATTATAATAAATTTATCATTTATGGCTATATATTAACAAAAGGAGCAGACACATCAACTACATACACACGCACAAAACAAAAAAAAAAACAAAAAAAAAACAAAAAAAAAAACACTACGTACACACAGAGTCACAACACAAACACAGAGAGGAGGAGCTATTGTGATGGCCCAAACAGGAAACAAGCTTTATTGCTTGCTTGTTGAAACAGGGTTCATCCTCTTGATGAGTTGGCGAAACTCTGATGAAACCGTCTCTCACCGCCCCTCGTTTGTTGTCCTCTTCTCCCTCTCTGCCTCCGGTTCACCAGGCAGTTCTCTATGGCAATTGATAGTATATCATATACATTACATATGCTGTGAGACAGGTCAAACACAGAGGTTCAACTGACCAACATCACATCATTATATGACTGATGATGGAAGGGAAGAGAGGGAGAACAGACCACACATCGACTCAGCCCCGAAGTAGCGATCAATTGTCCCATTTTGTTCCCAAAGTCCCAGGATTCAGGTTCCCAAGGTCATTAAGAAAAATCAGCATGGAGTACAATGAGGGCGTCGTCGACCAGTACGTAACAGCAGGGAAACTAGAGAGTCGTCGACTACGCCTCCTTCTGGCACTTTTCCTGACATGTTTCGGTCGATGCCAGAAAGATCGGCCATCTTCAGAGCAATCCATGTTGACGGAGATGCTCCCCAAGGCCATTACGAAAATCAGCGTGGAGTACAATGAGGCCGTCATCGACCAGTACGTAACAGCACGGAAACTAGAGACTCGTCGACTACGCCCCCTTCTGGCACTTTTCCTGATATGTTTCGATCGACGCCAGAAAGATCGGCCATCTTCAGAGCAATCGATGTTGACCGAGATACCCCCCAAGGTGATTAAGAAAAATCAGCGTGGAGTACAATGAGGACATCGTCGACCAGTACGTAACAGCACGGAAACTAGAGACTCGTCGACTACGCCCCCTTCTGGCACTTTTCCTGACATGTTTCAGTCGACGCCAGAAAGATCGGCCATCTTCAGGGCAATCCACGTTGACGGAGATGCCCAACTGATAGCTACTCAAAGAATATATAGCAACCCCGCTATGCGGATTGCCATTCCTCTTAGTACCATTGGAACCTGGGACTTTGGGAAAAGAAACAGCAGCGGAACGTAGTTCATTCGTAAAGTAACCGTCAATATCCCTCCAACTTGTGGTCCCGTTCTTTCGGAGAAAATACTTAAACCACCACGTTCAATTTGTCATTACTCAGAGAATCATAACTCTCGAAAGCACAGCAAAACGCCTTTTTTTTAATGATAATGAAAAAACAAGACTCAGGAGTCGTCCGCAGTAGGAAAATTGGTGTAAGGCTTCTTTCCCAGGACTTATAACAGGGGTTTCGCAGGGGTTTCGCAGGGGTTTAGCAGGCGTTAAGAAGGGGTTAAGCAGGGGTTTAGCAGGGGTTTAGCAGGGGTTTAGCAGGCTTTAAGATAGGGTTAAGCAGGGGTTAAGCAGGTGCAAGGAACATGAGTATGGACGAAGCACAGAAATCCAGAATGCAAAATCACACTGAAGTCCAAGTATTCAAAGCCAAAGCAGATAGCACATGGAACCGAGTAACCATCCCATTGAGAATGATACAGAAGAATCGTGAGTCAATGTCCATGCCCACCAGGGCAACACCAACAGCATAACCCAAATGTAGCTCTCTCTTGTGAATGGCGCCAGGCACCCTATCTACTCTACAGCC